TATGGAAAAATTTGATTCGTTTCACGCGCAATTCGGTTCGCGACCAGAGTCGCGGAACGAATTAAGTTCGTGAACCAAGGTACCACTGTATACTGGCATCCACAGAAAGCATGGTATTTATCCCTTATCTAAGATTGTGATAACCTTATCATCGGTGTAATTCTGGAATGTATTTAAAGTAAACTTTATAAAAAATAACAAAACACTTGCTGAAACTAGCAGAAGTACTAGAATGAAGTAAAAGAACCATAAGAGAGCAAACCAAAGACAGCAGCAAAACAAACACAGCTTCTACTTGTTCCCAGTCACGTTTCTGGATGTAAAAGCGAGTCACAATATAGCAAATTACAGTCATGGTTTTGGCAGCAGGTTTCTGGCAGGATGGGAAGTCTTCTCTAAAAGCTATCACTGCTCTCCTACCACTAGCAGCTATCAAATCCTCTCCCCCATCAGCTGGGCATCAGGAGAGAGTGGAGGGGCTCAATGAGTTGTAGGAAGAATAGCCTCCAAATTGCTCATCCATGACTTTGATTTTAACATCTGTATTGATTTGCAAACAATGTGTGTTATGGATGTTTTGCAGTAACAAATTTAGAGAAAAAAAATAGTCTGGATGTCCATCTAAATGGGTATCCATTTCAAAAATCTAAAGCTACCTTCTTTTCAAAATAATGGAAAATATTTTCTTCTCATCCTCAAAATATAAATTTTAAAAGGGGAAAAAAACAGCAAAGCATTACCTCTTCCTCTTTAGAATATTCTAGTTTCCTCAATCTACAGGATATCATATGTTTTTCCAGGGAAGATTTAGGCATTTGGTGATTAGCATCATAGGGACAGGTCACTTTCTCATACTAGAGAAAAAGAAGAAAATACTTTTTAGCATGAAGCACAGTGGCAAGACTTCTTCAGAATAGTAGATACGTTTGACAGCAAAACACGCTTTTTCATCTTTCAGTTCCCCTGTGCCCTATCTGATAAAGTTGTTAAGGGGCTGAACTAAAACAAAGAAACTGCAAGTTCTAGTCCTCCCTTAGGCATGAACGCTTTGAGCCAGTCATTCTCTCAGCCTAACCTTCCTTATAGGGTTGCTGTTGTGGGGCAAATAGGAGGTGGGAGTATCATTAGGCACAAAGCCAGCTGGGTGACCTTGGGCCAGTTACTCTCTTTCAGCCCTAGGAAGAAGACAATGGCAAGCCACCTCCAAAATCTTGCCAAGGGACTAGTCCAGGCAGTTGCCAGGAGTGAACAATGACTCAAAGGCACAACCACCCCCAATAATAAGTATTAAACTAGCAGGAAAACTGTCAACTATGAGATTAAAGAAAGCAAGTTTCAGATCTCCTAGATGAATGAAATGTTCAAGAGCATCTCCTTGCTCTCCCTCTTTTCCTCTCACTCAGCCTTCACCAGAAATGTTTTAAAAAATGAATCAAGAACAGATTAAGCATTCTCGAATTGCAATGCAGTAGAGAAGGGATAACAAACACTAACTTAGACAAAGGCTCCTCCAAGCTGAGCTGAACTCCTGATGAACATCCAAGTAGTTTTCTTGGCAGCAATACATAAATGGTTTGCTGCTTCCAACTTCCAGGCATTTTTGTTTGTCTTCCATGTTTACTCGGTAGATGCCCTTATGATTCCTGGTGCTCTCCCATCCAAGTAGTCCTACCCAGGCTCTATCCTGCTTAGTTTTTGGACCATCAACCACTTCTGGTTACATGCTGCCCCAACTGGCTGCCTGGGCAAGTCACTGCAGTTTTCTTGGCAAGATTTCCAAAATGGTTTGCTATTGCCTCCTTCCAAGGGCTGAGAGAGTGTGACTGGCCACAGTCACCCAGCTGGCTTTGCGCCTAAGGCAGGACTAGAACCCACCGTCTCCCAGTTAATTATTGCAAAATCACACACGTGGTCCCAATATAGTAGAATTGTCTTATTTGAGCTGCAAAAGTCCGGATGATCCCTAGATGGCAGCAGAGGGATGCAGCAAATCCCAACTACGTCTGGTGGTCGTCCAGATTTGCGCAGGCCAGGCAAGTAACCCCGTAAGAGGTTTGGCAGAAGCTGTTTGTTGCACGGAGCTGAATCAAAGCTCTTGCTGAATGCCCTTCCTTCCTCGCCGCGTGAGCAGAGGGGCAACGCAGCTCCCCCTCGCACCCTGACCCGCTGCCTCTCGAAGGGAGCCTTACCGGGGTCCCAAACCACAGGGAAAACGACAGAAGACTCTTCCCCACCGGGCTGTCTGCCGCGGCAGCCATCTTGGGAAAAGGCACTCTCGCTTCAATTTCGCCCAAATTCAGGGGCGACACCATCTTCACTTCTGGCAAGGTAACGTCCTACTTTGAACCTGGAAGCTTCGCTGGGTCAAGATAGCCATTTCTAGCGAAGATGTCTAGGATACTACCGACCTATAATAATAAAAAGTGCAGCTACTACAACAACTAACAAAAGTCGAACAAAGCTTCAAGCTCCCTGGCTTAAAAAGCATTCCGCAGTGGAGTCTCGCGATATTTTTTCAGCTACGCCCGACCGTGAGAGAAGCGAGAGGAACGGCCCCTGTTGGCGGACTGAAGCAGTGCAAGCGAGCATCTTCAGCAGACGTCAGAAGGATCATTGGCTAGTCAAACATTTCCGATGCGTTAAGTGGCCAGTCTTTTCTTTCTGAGATCTGAACGGGTTTAGTTATGCCTAATCAGTCTAAGATTAATGCTTGTTTTTCGTTTTCGTGTATATTTATATATATTTTTTAACCGTTGAGAAACAAGCTCAAAAAAGCACATCAAAGTTTAATTTTTCTCCAGACTTTTGAAGCTGAATGCAACCAGTTTTACTTAACCAATTTCATACTTAATGCATTTTTTTTGCTTTTTTTTTTGCATTTTTTCCTTATTAATTATAAATGAAAGCCAATTAATGGTCAGAAACTTCATTTTCACGAAGACGGTTAATGCATTTTATATTGCTTCCCTTTAAACCATACAGTATTTCTCAGCATCATTCATACAAGCCTCTTGTTTATGCTCAGTGCCTAGATTTTTTTCCTGATTTATACAGCCAATGAATGTTATAGGCATCCTCTCAAAAATGCAGTTTACAGTAGTCACAAATTAAGCTAATTGAATTCTAAAGTATAGTCCTGCAATAGGGGTAGGGGTGGGGGAATGGGGGCAGTGGGAGAGAGAATCAAAAATAGTTGCACACCACATATTGCCATGGCAAACAGAAGATATGATTTAATACATTATCATACCAGTATATAGTGTGATACTAATCTAGTCTGGCATAGTGGTTTAAAGCACCAGGCTAGAAACCAGGAGATTTGGGGTATCTAGGGTTGCAGTGCCAGCACATCTGGAGTGCACCAGATGGAAAATTGTATTATTTATAGTATTTCTGACATGGGGCAATATACTTGTACCCAATCATGTCATGTACTCGGGGAACTTAGTAATTGGAGATAAGGAAATTGCACTCCTGCACACAAAAAGAACATTATGAAAAAGGGTGATGCTAAAAGAAAAGAAAATGTCTGTAGGAAGTAACGGGAGCTCTTTTAAAGCCAGATGCTTATAATGTGAGCTGTGAATAACTACTAATATGAATTACTGACATTCTGATGAATAAATCAATGGGAACTAAGCATGGACCATACAGAAGGCACAAAATGGATTGGGAAAGAAAACAAGTGAAAAAAGTACAAATGAGATGGAATATACAGCATCTTCTGCTGAAATGCTTTACTTAATTACCTATTAACCTTATTTATTTATTTATTTATTTATGTGTTTTAAATGTTAAATGACAGTCTCCTAGTGGGTGGAAGTGAAGGACAGCCCTTTGATGTCCAGCTGAGTGAGTCAGGAAAGACATTCCTCCTAAGAGAATGACAGCCATTCTTAGTGCAGTGATGAGCTTTTTTGTGATCTTTAAATGTAATTCATTATAATAATGTTGCTGGGAATATGTTATGACTATTAATTTCTCATGTGATTTGTATTATCTAACAGCATTTGTTTGCATGCACCTTCCTAGTTGGTTGGAATCAGGCAACAGTATGATGGCCTGCAAGGCAGTCTCTAGTTTCGAAGACCTAGCTTGGATAGTATGAATAAGCTTGGGGAAAAAGTGGGCTTTGATTGTACTTAATAGCAAACTGCCCAATATTTGTCACGGTATTCTCAGGAGTCTTCTCCAACACTGAAGTTCAAAAGCATCCATACTCTTCCTACCTTGCTTCTTCAAAGTCCATCTTTTGCTTCCATAGAGTATGGCAGGGAATACCATGGCTTGCACGATTCTGATCTTCGTAGGTATAGATCAGTGGTTCCCAACCCTTTCTATGCCCTGTACCTCTAGGAAATTGATTGTTTGCACCCCCTACACAAGTAATACCACATTTGAAGATGTGGTCCCCAAGGCACACTGGCAGCTGGCTGAGTGATGACTTGTGACTCATCACTAAGGGACACAAGCCACTCTTCATTGCACTCCCTGAAATTCCATCTCGCACCCCAGGTTGGGAACCCCTGCTATACACATATCACGGCATCTGAATATCTTTCCCAAGGCCTTCATGCCTGCTCTAGTGGGTGCTAGTCTGTGGCGTATTTCTTGACTGCTTGTTCATTTATTGTTGATGGTTGATCCTAAAAGGCAGAAGCTGTCCACCACTTCAGTATCTTCCTTGTCAATTCTAAGACTGACTGTTCTATCTGTTGTCATTAGTTTGGTCTTCTTTATATTTAATTTTAGTCCCATTTTATTCACTGTGAATTTAATTGTTAAGTTTATTAAATCAGGACCATATACGTAACAGCATAATGTGTCATCTTCTCATTTTTAGAGCACAAAGACTTTCAAAAATAGATAACTCATATCCTGGATTCATTCTTTAAAATCAAGGAGTGCCTTTCTTTCCAGTTACATACGATTATCTTCTCTGCTGTACCCCAAGCTCAATAAAGCCAAAGCTTTTCATAAGGTCACAAATTCCACATTTTAGGAATATAATTCAACATCACATTGAGATCCATAAATATATTTTTTTATAAAATTATGTTAACATACATATTAATTTGAAACTTTGAATTTGACCTATAATAGAACAAGATCAAATCAAGCAATGTTTCTCAACCTTGGCAACTTTAAGATGCGTGAACTTCAACTCCCAGAATTCCCCAGCCAATCCACACATCTTAAAGTTATCAAAGCTGAGAAACACTGAGTTAAAATGTCTTTACATTGCTAACATAAAATATCTATTGTTCATCTCTTTTGTTCATCCTTTTGAACACACACTCTGAGGTCTCCAGTTGACCCAAAAGAATATTTCATTTTTAAATCATAAGAAGTGTATTTTGTGTTTTTAATACATGAATCCATTGATTTTCCAAAACTGGATTTTTCATTCTTCCTTTCACAGATCAAATACATAAGTAAAACTTTCATTTCACTTCTTAACAGCATATAAAATTGAATTGTTGATTTTCATTCAAGTTCAGCATCTCTTAGAGAAGCTAAAATTCCAGGTACTTGGAGGCTGCTACGTATCTAGGTCATACTCTTTAATTAATACGTTTCAATTGTGTATATTGTCAAGTGTATATTGAAGGCAAGTCAAACTGAAAAGACAATACAGGTAGGCATTGTTTAGTGACTGCCTCGTTTAGCAACCATTTGCAGTTACAATGGTGATGAAAAAGTAACTTTGCGACAAATCTTCACATTTATGACCTTCACAGGTCTGTAAAGCAAAGGAAAGTTGCAGTAAGATCATAAGCACATTCATGGTTTCACTTAGTGACTGCTTTGCTTAACAACCCCGTTGCCAGTCCCAACTGTGGTCACTAAACGAGGACTACCTGTATCTCAAAATCTTTAAAACAACCATTAAAAATCAACTGATTAAAAGTATTAATTCCTTGTTTAGCCCAAGCATTCCAATAAAACATTATCCCTGTTATTCTCATATCTGAATCACCCCACAACATCAACTTCTCATGTGATTTGGGTCAAATCATAGCAGTGTACCTATCTGTAACCAAATATGCCTAGCAGCTTTCACAGCAGGAAGTGAAGAACCCCGTTTAGTACACCTGGACTCTAACTGCTGCCAAGATTTCAGAAGTGTGACACGTTTGCTTTCCAAATGGGCCCTGCAGCTGTACCTGACAGCTGGAAGAATGCCGTTTGGTTACTTTATGCAAAGGGAAAGGTGACTGTAACTATAAATGGCTAGCCCAGAGCACTCGCCAAGGCATTGGAAGAACTCTGTTTGGAAGGATATGAGAAGTGAGAGTGAGCGGTGCAGCTTTATGCTGGCCAAATTTCTGCAGGTCACTGAGAAATTACAAATGTGAGAAATAAAGCCTGATTCTGTGTCAGAGCCATGATTAAGCATAAAGAACTCCTCCAAGTGAGGTGATGCTGAGCCTTAACTAGACTTCCATAACTCAGTATATTTTCCCTTCCTTTTTTCCCCCTTTCCTTCTTCTCCCTCTTTTTTCCTCTCTTCCCCTTTTAAATATACATATACCATTCTATGTTTTATTTTGCTACTTCTTAGTTATAATTGGTTGGACCATAATTGTCTTAATCCCAACAAACCCTAGCAGGACTTCAGCAAGTATTGGACTTAATATAAGTTAGCATGGCTTTACAATCTCATAGTGTTTTATAAATTCTAGTATTACTTATGCCCTTTTATAGTTATCTATCCTAGTTATTTATTGCATTTAGATTATTCATTGTAAAATAAATTGTAATTTTATAGGATTCCTTGCATTTTAATTCCTGTACTCTGTAATTTTACATTAATGATTCTATCTTTATTCTATCAATATGACTTTTTATTTTTATTTCTATTTCAGCATAATTGTTATGTTATTAGTTGTATGCTGGTCTATGACTGAAATAAAATTGATATTGCAATAAGAGAGGTAAATGATGGAAGTACAGCACCTGAGGGAATAAAATGAATGCTTAGCAAGTGGTTTAACTTTGGAGTAAGACAAGGATGTGAAAAAAGTGGTTTGGTCACATACAAAGGATAAATGAGAAGTGTATGATAAAACAAAAATGTGAAGGGAGAATGAATGGGATGAGAGGAAGGGGACAACTGAGAAAGTCATGGGTAGACAAAATCGA